AAAAGTATGCGATTATGAGGCTGTCGCGATTTTAGGTTTTTGTATAGGTTTACCGTTTTTGTATCTCCCCACTCCCCGACGGGGGGTGAAAACCGTTAGGTATGATAAAAGTTTTTCCCTTTAGGAGGAGGACGTTACAGGAAAAACTTGTCGTCGTCGGGGATTTTAAAAGTAAATCGTTTTTACAATTCCGGCGACACAAAAAAAAAAAAAACAAACGTCTTGTTTCCGTTCCAGACGTACGAATTTAAATAGAAAATCCCTTTTTTTTCCCCCAAATCAATTTCCTGGAAGAAATCATTTTTTTGTTTTGACAACGAAAGATTTTTTTTTTTTTTTGTTAAATTTCTTATTTGTTAAGCAAACACTTGTCGAAATTATTATTTACATCAAACACGCGCACGCGCACGCACGCACTACTTTAAAAAAATTTTTTTTTTTCATTCGCTTACAAAAAAAATTATAAAATCAAATGTTTCACTCTTTCCTCTTCCAGGAAGGGGAGAAGGGAGCGGGGAGGGGTAAATTTCTAAAAAAAAATATTTCTTATTAATTTTCTTTGTTTATGGCGTCTTTTCACCGAAAAAAAAAAAAAATGACGTCAGGCATTATTAGAAAGAAAAATTCATTTCGATATCCTCGACCGTTGGTGGTCTCCACAACAGGTAGGCGTGTATTATAGTGGCTTAATGCTTAATCTTCGACTCTTTTTCTATTAAAATTCGATTCGGATAAAGTCTTACGATTCGCCTTAGGTTCCATCTTGGGTAAAATCCCATCCGCAGACTCTTCAGGCTACCTTTATTGGGTAAAACTTAAAAAAATTGAGGAGAAGCAAAAATTACCCTCCTTAACGATTTAATTTTGGGTACGAATACAACCGACAAGATTCAACTCCTCCCTGGAAAACAACAAAAAAAAAGGGGTCACATAAAAAAAATGACCCCATTATAACATTTGACCACATAAATATTATAAATTTTATCTTTTCCACACATGCACACACACGCGCGCGCCCGCACACACACACACAACACACACTCTGTGTATTTAAGTGAGATGATCTGGAAAATAATCCGGTTGAATTTAATTTTTTTTTTTTATTTCACTGGAACGAAATCGAACATTAAAAAAGAAAGAAAGAAAAATCATAAAAAAATTGATTTTTATTATTGGATAAACATATTAAAAATAAGTTTTCTTATAATTTGAAAAAAAAAAAAAAATTCTTACGAGAGACATAAAGTTAACAATAATGATAATGCACTGACCGCGTTCACATTTTTTTAAAATTTATTTTTCCAGGAAAAATCTCCAGTTAATAATAATAATAATAATAATAGATAATGAGAATTTGTTTAATGATAATAATAATAATAATAATAATAATGATAATTAAACTTTTGGAAAAATAAATTTTATATTTTTTTCTTTGTTTTGCGTGTTTGTCTGTGTTTGTTGCTCCTCCGGAAAACCGATTTTATTAAAAT